CCATGCCCAAGTTGTGTGACGTTTGAGAGAGACGGCACTTTGTGGCCGTTTAGTGGCCTCATCATTCGTGCACGCTCTTTATAGCTAAACCATCAGCCTGAAGATGTCAGACTTTACCACAAAATACCACAGCAAGCTGATTTCATTGGCTATCAATATTAAAGAACATCTGTCATAATTCAAACAAACCACGATGTAGTCGATGTCTAGGCGAGGTCAACTCTTAATTAAACATCCTAATGAAACATGGTTCGCACAGAAATGAAAAGTGCTTGAAAAATATGTCAAGAGATCTGTATGAACCATGTGAAATGATTCAGGTAATGTAGAAACACAGTTAATTAAATAAATTACACAAACCCGCACCAAGAGGTTTACCTCGACAAGTCACATTACCGCCAAACTTTTCACGTTTTCTTTTAATTACAAGAAATTTTACTTACTTAAATTTGTTCACTGAGAACTCATCATATATATAACAGATTTTCCTATCCTTACGCAGAAACATATTAGATCAATGAATAATTTTTGGAGCAACATCGCTCGTTGACTAAGGTCAACTGCACTGTGTGCCAGAGTTATTACATTTAACAAAATTGAAATTGATTTGAGCTCTCCAGACCAACCAGCCTAAATTTGATAGGTGAATGATTGGTGGACCTGGTGAAATGGACGTCAGGCATATTGACACATTGTGCCTGTCTGTCTTGAAGTCCACTGGGAAATGGTCGGAATTTCAAGGACATGAATCTCAGCATGTGAGCAGTCTGACCTTTGACCTCTGACCTCCAGGTTGTGTGGAGTTGACTCAACTGTTGAAGACAAGTAGAATCTGCCTTGAGAGACCACACCTTCATGTGGTAGAGTAAGGAGATGCCTTGAGAGACCAATTCTTTTGTCAGTGTTGTGGGAACTGTGTCTAGATACAATCCCGTCAGTCTTTACAGTAGAACCTGTCTTGTGAGACAACCCTTTAGTCTTAACAGTAGAACCTCCCTTGTGAGACCAGCCTTCTTTCAGTACAGTAGAACCTCTCTTGTGAGACCACCCTTCTTTCTGTACAGTAGAATCTGTCTTGTGAGACCACCCTTTAGTCTTAACAGTAGAACCTGTCTTGTGAGACCACCCTTTAGTCTTAACAGTAGAACCTGCCTTGTGAGACCACCTTTCTGTCAGTACAGTAGAACTTCCCTTGTGAGACCACTTTTCTGTCAGTACAGTAGAACCTGTCTTGTGAGACCACCCTTCTGTCAGTACTGTAGAACCTGCCTTGTGAGACCACCCTTCTTTCAGTACAGTAGAACCTGCCTTGTGAGACCACTTTTCTGTCAGTACAGTAGAACGTGGTCTTGTGAGACCACCCTTCTGTCAGTACTGTAGAACCTGCCTTGTGAGACCACCCTTCTGTCGGTACAGTAGAACCTGCCTTGTGAGACCACCCTTCTGTCAGTACAGCAGAACCTGTCTTGTGAGACCACCCTTCTGTCAGTACTGTAGAACCTGCCTTGTGAGACCACTCTTCTGTCAGTACAGTAGAACCTGCCTTGTGAGCCTACCCTTCTGTCAGTACAGTAGAACCTGCCTTGTGAGACCGCCCTTCTGTCAGTACAGTAGAAACTGTCTTGTGAGACCCCCCTTCAGTCTTAACAGTAGAACTTCCCTTGTGAGACCACCCTTCTGTCAGTACAGTAGAACCTGTCTTGTGAGACCACCGTTCTGTCAGTACTGTAGAACCTGCCTTGTGAGACCACTCTTCTGTCAGTACAGTAGAACCTGCCTTGTGAGCCTACCCTTCTGTCAGTACAGTAGAACCTGCCTTGTGAGACCTCCCTTCTGTCAGTACAGTAGAAACTGTCTGGTGAGACCACCCTTTAGTCTTAACAGTAGAACCTGCCTTGTGAGACCACCTTTCTGTCAGTACAGTAGAACTTCCCTTGTGAGACCACTTTTCTGTCAGTACAGTAGAACCTGCCTTGTGAGACCACCCTTCTGTCAGTACAGAACCTGTCTTATAAGACCACCTTTTAATCAGTACAAATTCTTTCTCTACAGTGGCACCTGTCTTGGCAAACCATGACTCCTGTCAGTGTAGTAAAACACGTTTATATTTTCCACTTCACTGACTTTGGTAAGACAGCGTTTAGTATGATATCTTTTGTTAGACATTTTATTTTGCTCCATTTCCATCAAAATGGAAGCAAGGGCTTATGTGTACTTTGTATGCTACGAAATATGGAACTTGAATTTCGCAAAACACTTTGAATACGCAATAATTCTCAGTTTAATAGTCAGAGTACTAGCATGAAACTCTACCAAACTTATGTCTTCATTAAAAATACAGGGAATTTTCACTTGTAGACCTGACATAAAATAAACTAGCCCCCAAGTCTAGTAGGACTGTACTTCCTTGATCCTAACTAGATACAAGATACTAGAAACTGTATTTAACATTGCATACAGGTAAACAAAGAAAATGAGCTCTTGAGAGCTATTATTGCGACAATGATAAATCTCTAAATCTCAGAGGACAACAAATTTGCAAGGTCTATTCTTTACATGTATTTTCATTCTGCGATTATAAAGAAACAAGAAGTGACAAACTTCTCCCATGACAAGCAGAATTCACATTCAAGTGCAAAAACTGTGACCACATGTTCCATTCTCAAACAAAATCAGTCTTGTTGATTCAGGAATCCTAGAAAGACTGTCCCAGTGTGAGCTTCAGTGTCCCGTCCCAACATTGTGTCACTTGTCTTGTGTACAGACGGGGAAAGTGCAGGTTTATAGTGGAAAATGTGAACACTTATTATATATGTCCACTTGGTTAGACATTTGTAATTAAAAAAACATGATTCTAACTCTTTTTTCCTGGATAGAGTTCACATAGAGGTTCAAGTGCGGCAATATTTAGAAAGTGCTCTTGTATAAAATCATACCGGGACGCGCCATTGATCCATTCTTAGCGTTGTTAATGTCTTTAGGCTCAAAATATCGGTAATTATTTAGGCTAATGCGAGACTTTTTGATAGCAAGACCTGAAAATTGACAATTATATTATGGCCTAGGGTAAAAAACCTGTATGGATAAACGGTGAAGTGTTGATTATGAATGGAATATTAAGTTTAGAAAACATAACTGGAATCCCGAGATGGTTGACGGGGTCTGTAGTTTTGAAGCGACTCTTCACTGTATGAGTTGGTGATTTATATTATAGCCCAGAGTATCAGGAAATCCCCCGAACTTGACACAATGCCCTCATCCTGACACAATGCCCTTATCCTGACAAATCTGCCTCCTTTTCATACACATGCCATAATTAGATAATCACCCTGGCCGGGAGTGAGGTCGAAGTCAAAGTGAGGCTCCAGTCATCAGTGAAGTCCTCACTGGAATTTGGCCGTTGTGTTCATCAAAGAAGAACACATGACGCATACATTTATTAGACCTAAATGCTGGATTTTGATTAATTAACCAAATTTTGTATGAGACGAAAATGTTTTAAAAAGAAAAAGTAAACATTAAGTATTGAATTGCATCTAGATGGCAGTCATATGAATGTCAAGTGTAAATGATTATTTCAACATGAATCACTAGCATGTCTCATTGAATTTGTGATTTCTAGTTGGCATTCATATTGACAATGAATGCCAACTAGTAATGTATCTCTGATAGTGTGTATGATCAATTACTAGGCTAAGAAATGGGTCTAATACAGCACATTGATTAATATCTTGAATGCGTACAGGTTCTTAGTCCTTCAACATCTACTGAGTGAAAGATGATAACAATTTTGTTTCCCATTAGTTAGTTGGTCATTCAGATATATGTACCTGCCATTAACTGATTGGTCACCTATGTCTTGAGCCGGACACTGGTCAGTCATGTCTTTATGTGGCTTTGCCATATATGTACAAGTGTACATGTATCCATCGTTATTCTGTGCGACTGACCGGTTTGTCCTAATCTTACGCCCCACTAGTAAACGTCGTTGGAGGAGATTCTCGCTCCCTCGTCCTCTTGTAATTAATCAATACAATTCAATCTCAGACCTCAACACACAACCCGCTGACAAAACATTGGAGCAACCTTAACTAAGGGAGTGTAAACTAACGGTCGTGAACATTTTTGTATCCTCTTTTTCTTGCCTTCAAGTATAGAATTGCTAACAGATATTTCGCCTTATGATTATCACAGTTATACTGAGTGTATAAATAGTATGTGAGATCATTAAACACCCTGCAGCGCTGCTTCGTGGTCAGGATTGTTTGTGTACTGACCACCGATACAATTTTAAGACTCTTTTAACTCTGATTGTTTCAGTCTGCCCAGCTGTTTATATAAGTACCAGCATATACTGCCATTTTATTAGGAAAGGTCAAATACTCACCACAGAAACAATGATCCTATCGGTAGCCGTGGGACAAAATCTGCTCACATAAGTGTAACGAAGGACATTATTTTTTCAATGTCTTCGCTAGAGGTCGAGCATGGGACACTCTACTGAATGAACTAAAAGAGAAATTCTGCCTAGCCAGGTCAGTAGGAAGCAACTACAATTTTACCAGGCGTACATGTCATTACGGAAAATCTCTTATAACAGGACTTAAGTTAACATATTTAAAGTTTGGTGTGTTGTTCCACCAGACTCCAACATTCTGTCTGCCCTTACACTTAATTGCCATGGTAGAGTTAGAAGAATGAAGATTTCCGCTCTACCTTCAGTACTTACCCTGTGACAGGTAGATGTTACCCTGTGACAGGTAGATGTTACCCTGTGACAGGTAGATGATCTAAAGTTTTACCATCATTTACAGGTGTGTTTCCAGATTTTCTGTCACACCCTCAAGGTAGAGGGTGATCTGTTAATCATTGGTAATACCTATTGTTGACATGATGTACTTAAATGACTTCCTGATTTCAGCCTCAGATAACTCTAATGCTGATCACAGAACTGTGCCTGGTAGTAACTACAACGGTCTGTCCACCTTGTATCTTTGCAGTGTGTGATGGGATCTCCGTCTGTTTAACGCCAAGCTGGAGGACCAGACGTAGACAAACTGCCGGTAAAGACAACATTCCTTACCATTAATTATGTCTATCTCTGCTTGTGAGTGAAATTTGGAGACCAGTTCTACATTTCAGTGACAGGTAAAAGTTGTTTGATTGGCAGATTATAAAAATACTTAAACGTGCGAAATATTAATTGACCTAGAACAATTTTCAAAGTTCAGTTTTTTGTTACATGATTCATGTCTATTATCAATCAGCATGATACCCAATAAGACGTTGCTGAGTACTAACCAGAACCAGAATCAAGTAAAACTTGTTAAGAATCATTGTTTTTTTCTTGTACCTGTAATAGTAATACACAGGTAAAGTATTTTACCTTTAGAAATAATGATAAAAATTGAAAAGAAAAAAGAAAAAGAAAACTCAACAAAAATAATTTGTGTTAATTTGTAGGATTTGAGATAGAAAGGTAAATCCGAAATACCTGTATGTTATAGAAAGGACATCAATCATCTCTAAGAAGTTACATTTCATTGAATTTGAAATTTTTTTCAAGACAAATTCTTTTTTATAATATTAATAAAAAAGTCTACTTGAACCAACAAAATATTTACACCAAGGAGAATCATTATATATATTGTCAAAGATAGGAAGACTTTACTAGGTAGGTACATACGAATCGTATCTAACAAATAAAAACATTAAAAACCAGGAAAATATACCTTTAGAAAATGTAATTTTCAAAATTCCTATAAATAAGTTTAAATATTAAATTATGAAAGATAATTTCTGCAGAAAAATATCATAATTCCTGCAGGAAAATTTTGCTTGCATCTATTTTTAGAATAATGTCCTTTCTGGGTTGTATTCTGATCTGGAGTTAATCGAACACTGATATGAGGAGTACATTTAGTACCTGCTGGTAGGCTGTGTACATATCTGGGGAGGGTATTTAGTTCAGTTTTCTGTGGGTGAATTCACAACATGTTTGCGAGATAGAAGATAAACATTCCCGCTGTGATATTTGTACTGATGCATTCTTTCTCCAGATCCAGGTATATTTTTACC